AGTTGCAAAATGATCAAGGAATGAATACTCGTACATGTCGTGTTCTCGAAAGCTTAGCTACCTCGTCTGATACAATCATGCCCGCAAAAAAGAAATAAAACGGCAAATTAATTTGCTCCCGGGTACGCTTTATCTGCCGCTTAAATGTAAGTCGGTGGCAATTCGTCTTGCTCATTCCGTGGCCACAGGCAGTAAAATGTATTCGTGAATTAAGACATTCGCCAAGCGGATATAGTAATTCGCCAGAAAGAAGTAGAATGACTTATTGTGGAGATAAAAGCGGAGAAACAATGGGACTAGAGAAATCGATTAAGACTAATATTGATGTTATTACATTACTCTGAAAGATTTTTTTCGCATATTTCTTCATAATTCTCCGGAAATCGGATCGATGAATTTTGTTAATATTACACACAACATTAATGTAAGAAAATTATAATTATTATGCAATATATTACTTTATATATAAAATGGATTATATTTTCTAAAAAAATTTTTATTAATATTACTCTTTATTTTATTTATTTGGTTATAGCTATTTAGTTATAGTTATTAGTTTAGTACAGTTATTAGTTTAGTTAGTTTTATTTTAGTTATAGCTACTTAGTTATATATATTTTTTTAATTAAAAGCTGTTATTTAACTTTAACTTTTTTTTTGCAAAAATACATCTCTTCGAAGCGAGCTTTATGTATTACCATGTAATACATTGTAAAACGTTCATAACTCGAGTTAGAGTCGTGTTCCTCGGTCGTTCCTTTTATCCGGCTTACATCTGCTGGTTCGAGAAGAATAAGCGCATCACGTGCCGCCTATTAATAACGTCAGACGAATAAAACTTTCCGCGGTATCTGCAATTGTCATCCTGTGACGCGACAAATTCCGCAACGCCACACCGAAATCTTCCGAATCATCCTGATCATCCTGCCTCGCTACTATAGTAGCACTGTTTTGACTTTCACTGAATATCGGCGCTTCGCTTCCGTACGCCTCGATACGCCTTACGATTCGATACAATTGATATCGCAATTGATATCCATAACTGAAGAGCTATCAAAGTTGTCTGATCAATCTGTTTGTTTCTACTTAAAAAAATCATTTTTTTTCAATAAATCCATCTATATTTTGAATATTTCGCATTATATATCTTGAAATCTTAACGAATTAAAACGTCAGACTGATCATCGCGATATGTTTAATCTTTTTTTTAATTTATTATACGCTCTGTGTATTTTATTTAGTAAAAATTCATTAATATTTATTAACATTATAAGACAAAGATACATAAGAAAAAAAAAGGAACTAGCAGATAGATTTTTTTTCAAGAATTCTACACCTCAACCGGTCTTAAGCAGTCTATTCTCGTATCGTTTACTCTATAAAAGTCACAAACGACCCGATTCCCGTTTCTACGATCCCTTTTGTCCTCTCAAAATTCGTCGGAAACGTGATCAACATCGCGGAGCGGGCCCTCATAATCTAAATTCCATCTCTTCCTGCTCCTTCACGTATTCGTCTGCGGGAAAACGGGCCTGACCAGTCGCCGCCGGTTCGCCGGTTCGCTTCTCCGTGGGGCCCTGCTTGCCCCGGCAAGCTTAACTCGAGACCTCGGCGGGGCCCGCAGTGTCCTCTTCGGCACATGTCACCGTGTCATGGCGGCCGCGATTTTGGGCCCCGCCGTCCCGCGCTCAAGCGTACGTGTCGCGCATCTGATACAGCCGTAACAAATGACATCGTCGAACCGGCGTATAGTCGCCGGCTGGCTATCTCTTCATCTCGCGCACGACGACGACGGGGCAAATATTGTCGGGCCCGACGAGGCCCGCGGCATTGTCGGACCCGGGACAACACTTGGCCAGTCGACCGTCGGTCGGTCGGTCTAAGTATTGTCGTGCGATCGTCCCCGTCGACGAACGGTCCGAACGGTCAATACTTTCGCCGCAGTTTAAGGGTGGCTTAAGCGGGCCCTAGTTAGAAGACATGACGCCGGGTTATGAGCCCGATGCCGGAGCCTCATGGGGAGGACTTTCGTTGTAACACGTGTTGCTAACCGGTTCCACCTTAATTGTCTTAAACGGGCATCATCATAATTCTGGGTTTATCTCTCGGGGCGGCAGCGCCGTCGTGGCTTGACGTCGCGACGTCCGCTCGCCCGGCGACTCCTCGTGATCTAATGGTGATTTCGAAATTGATGAAACGGCCATGCACCATGAGGAATAATATTACGAGAAAGAGTAACGGAGATTACTGTTCGATGGCGGTTGTATAATAATCATGAGAGCGAGGCGAACTCGACGTCGTTATTATCATCTTGCCAAAAGCAACACGAATTTCCACGCGAAATGAAATATGATCGTGTATGATTTATAATACAAGTGTCGACTTTTGTGTGGGCCATCCACTTTCTCGAAACCTTCGTCTCATAAATTACGCAGTAACCTTTATTTCTCTATCGTTATTATTATATTCTGTCTCCTCCTGTGAATTTGCCCTTTGGCGCCTAGCTCTAGTTCTAGTGTTTTATCTCCGTAAAGGTTTTACTTGAACGCTTTTAATATAAAGGGACTTTGTTTTGGCTGTATTTCAGCAGCGAGGGTCCAAAAACACGATACCTGATAAGATACGAAGGGCCGGGCTGAAAAATTCGGTATCCCGGGTCGTGTCCTGACGATCGTGAGGGAAGGGCCGGGGCCGAAATTAGGTTTGCGAGACACGTTTCTTCCCTCGTGCGCAGCACGGCGCGAAGAGAACGCGGCTTTCGGTTCACCGTGCGACGGTGTCAGGACGTTAACCGTGAGGTATCCATCACTGCCTTACTGAGAAACCCACGACACGACGGTGTTCCGACTTCGGTCGGATCAGGTTAGATAAATGTAATAGTCCATAGTTCAGCTTGCTAACAAGGCTAGTCTCCCCTAGATCCGAGATAAAGACACGGTCCAGCTGACTTCGGGGCCGCTCATAATGAGGCCTAGTAGAAGTCGATCGCCGATTATGGCATTCTTCGATGATATTTCATCAATCATCCGGATCCGCCGCCGAATTCATTATGCGAAATCCGCGCGCTCAATATTTACGTTCGTAAAGCGAGACAAGCGCGATGATCGCTTCGTCGTTAAACATCGAAAAGAATTATGGGAATCTTCCTCACAAATTTTTATGATACAGAGACTCATACAGAGACCTTTCGCCTTTCGGCAAAGAGAGAGAGAGAGAGACACGGCGCAAGTTACCTTGATATTTATAAATTTATCTATAAATTTTAATAACACCAAGATTTCATCTAGAAAGTAGCGAGTTATCGATATAAATGACACGTTTTGAAGGATTTGTCACGCTAACTTGATAAATATCGCAAACAAAATGACTATATTAATCATCGCGGGTAATTTCAACAGGACGTCGCGGCCGAGCGACATTAATTTATGCCCAAAAATAAACTGTTAACTGTGAACCACTCTTTTCGATTAATAATGCCGATAACATTATTACCCGCCCGTCCATCGTGCATATAAAATGTTCCAAACCAAAACATTGAATGTTTTTTGTGACAAATTATTGGCCAATTTAACTTCTTTTTAACGAAAATTAAAAATTTCTCTATAAATAAATGATTATATTTAATAAATGATCGATGATTACATATTTCTTTGTAAACGTAAGAATGAAATTTCGATTAAAGATTAAAATTTAAATTAAAATTAGAGATTAATTGGAAATTATTACTCTGTCGTATATTTGACATTTTGAAACTTATTTTGAAAACTTTGCTTTTAATCGTTAAGTTTCCGAAAGATATGCCTTTCTATATACATATCCTTGTTTAGAAAATATAAATATCCAATTAGTCAAACAATACTATGAAAGAACATTCGGTATGTATCTCGCCTAAAGACCGGATTTCTCAGATATTAACGGCCCGTCTCTTTCATAACGTGTAACAAGACTCGCAAGACGCGCCAGCTTTCTCTCTCCCTCTCTCCCTTTTTCTTTCTCTTTCGCTCTTTTTTCTCTTTCCTTTTTCCCATGTGTTGATTAAGTTGAAATTTATTATTAAACCATACCGATATGTGTTCCCGCGCACAACTTTACGACGAGGAGCTTTAATTTCCTGCGGAACGCGCATTAATCATTTATCGATGATTAACTCGTAGCCGCCGATAAAATCGAGAGCGGTTCTTGATATTATGAGCAACGACTGGCGTGAAGTCATACAACTTGAAAACTTTCTTAATATTTCTCTTATTTGCAAGAACTAAAGACACTATTTGTTCAAGCCTGCTTTAGAGACGGTCTATAATTTGTTAAATTTCAAGAGAGAATTCTGCTAATTTCATGTATTGCGTAATAGATATAAATTTGAAATATTTAAAAAATTTGAATGCATACATATATGAAATATATTTAGAGAAAAAAAAATATATATGTACATAAAAATGCACGACATATAAAATTATAGACAGAATTCTAAGTCTAATAATTGACACGAATTATATTTTGTCTAAAATGAATTTTATATAATTAACATCAACATTTATTTGCAAGTAACAATACAAAACTTTAACGATAAACATATATAAAAATTATAGTAAACTCATATATTTTTACATGTATATAAAAATATATGAGTTTACTATAATTTTTATAAATTCAAAAAAATGTATAAATTTGTTTCATAAATTAACTATTGATTTACATATTCTATTTTGTAGGTAAATAACAAAATTACCGTCTGCTTATTATACTAACTGCTTCTTGTTCTAGTCATAATGCTTGTCGAGAGGGCGTTAGCGCATAGAGAATTTTTTTCTCATATCAACTATATACTAATATATAACTATATACTAATATAGTATATTTTTAAATCAGGCAATCTTCATTAATTTTAGCTTTAAAATTCCAGAACATTATAAAATAAAAATAATAACTAGCTTAATCAAAATTCTTTAAATTATAATTACAATGTTTTTGCAACAAATTCTGTTGATGAAAATTAAAAAATCGTGATTTTCACTTATTTGTTCCAGTCTCGTTCTCTCCCTTATTTTTTTCTTTCTTTATTATTATGTTTAAAGTGATTTCTATCAAATTTCAATTAATCGTCAATTAATTTGTCAAGTAATTTTCAGTATCCTATTAATGTAAAAGATTATTAATTTTTGGTTGTTTCGGCAAATGAAGAAAAAAGATTAAAGATTACAGATTAAATTAAATAATGAGAAACGTGTTATAATCGTGCCGGTTGAATTAATCGGCATTTAAATTATGCGGAGGTCGAAATTAATCATGTTTAAAAAAGATTAATATAGTTAAATATAACACGACAAGATATACATACCACAATCCATTGTGTCTTGTTGAGAACATGGGGACCATATTATTTTCTGATTCTCACGCAGAAAACAATTGTTTTCTACACCAGTATTGAAGTTATATGACATCCATGTGCAGCAACTATTGTACACGATGATAAATTGTACAAAATATTTTCAACTTTTCGTGCAACAAGAGAGAGCAATCCTAGAAAAAAATACGAACATTTCGACGCATTTTACAATGAAGAATTAACCTCGAACAAACTCTAATCAATTTCATCTGCAATTAATTTTTAATCGTCGCATTTGCTCAGAACAAAATTTCTGAGTTCATATACTTTCCTATTTCTATTTTTTTTTTTTAACGTAGCTCTTATGTACAACAAAATATCAATGATTTTATCCGTATTAACAAAATGCTAATAATAACAAAAATTACTTACCTAATATCTATCCTTTCAATGCAGATTAATCTTAATCTCTTCGATTTAATTTACTCTATTTTTTCTAATTGTTGAAATTAAAAAAGGATGAAAAATAAATTAAGTCAAGGTTATTCTACTTGGTAGAAATAAATTAATTGCTGATTAAATGAATTGAAGTTTGATTAGTCATCGGTCAAGTACGATTAAAAATCTATCGAGATATCGAAATATCGTATCGTTTATAGTCATGTGACGTGATACCCTGGCAACTATTCACGTTGTAGCTGACGCCATTTAACATGGGTAACCTTTTTGGTCAAAATAAACTACTTGTTAAAATAAATTTAATATTTGAAAAGCATATAACAATTCCGTATTTATGTTCCTCTCGAGTTCCTAAATTTTTATATATTATTAATGAAACAATTATTTACGGTATATTTATGTTTTTCATAGATAAATTTATTATTTGATTACTAACACGTGAAACAAAAAATAATGAATGAACACGAGGAACTTATTGTTTGTGTGCCCGGTAATTATTCATTTATTTATTTCTTTTTAATAATCTCTCTATCTCTTAAACTAACTTTCTAAAATTTTTTTAAGGTCAAAGATTATGCGTAGCTGATAAAAGTAATGTAGCTGGACCTGGAACATACGAACAGCAAGGTTACATCTACTCCAAGCTCGCTGGTGTCGTAAAATTGGTGACGGATGATAAAGTAAGTTTTATGTGCAATTCTATATAAAATGAGGATAAACAATTTAAATCTATATATTTACAGACTCGTACTATCGAGGTACATGGTATAACAGAGCAAAGTATCGTTCCAGCACCAGGAGACATTGTGACTGCCATGGTCACTGTAGTTAATCAAAGATTTTGCAAATGCAGTATTAAATGCGTAGGTGACATAGTACTGACAAGACCTTACAGAGGGATATTAAGGAAAGAAGATGTTCGAACTATTGACAAAGACAAGATAGAGATGTACAAGTGCTATCGACCTGGAGACATCATTCTTGCGAGAGTTGTATCCTTTGGGTCACTGAAATAATAGATTTAAATGTTAAAGATTATACATATAATATTTATTTCTATCAATAGATTCAATCTGAATTCAACTTACTTTTATCTTTTCTTAATTTTAAGAACTAGAAAAGGATAATTTAAACTGAAATTAAAATTAATCTATATTGATAGAAATGAAACTAATTTTTCCTATACCTCTTAAATAGTTACCAATGACAGAAGTACATACTTATCAATTGAGTACCGCAGAAAATGAATTAGGAGTAGTTATAGCTCATAGCGATGAAGGTAAAGATTCAGTATATTTTTCATCCTGATTGTTTAATTTTAATAGCACGTTATCTTATAGGTGTAGCCATGGTGCCGATCAGTTGGACACAAATGCAATGCCCGAAATCATTGTCCAAAGAATTCCGCAAAGTTGCTAAAGTTGTGCCAGAACACATTGTAGCGGAACACAGCGAGCAACTAATGAATGAATAAGAACACAATAGTAACACTTCAAATTGCAAATTATTTTTGTATTTTCTATTATTATATAGTCTGCGTGTAAAAAGCTTATATAAGTGAATGCAATCATTTGAAAATAATAAATTATTAATTATTTGGAGCAACAAAAATAAAATTTCTAAATATTTTTGTTTCAATTAAATGAATTCTTTCATTTTTTTTTTTTTACTTTTACTTAGTATTAATTTGCGTATATATTTTATTTTTGCTCTTACATATTCCTCTGCTTCTTCTATCGTTGACAATGTGTGGCAGCACAGTCAGTATTTTGATGCTTGTAAATATTTATCGTGCATAGGAGTGTCTGTTTATTTTAATACGAGCATTTCATATTACCTGTTGTCATTTGATAAACCAGTAACACGAAGGAGCGAAAAATGGCAGAAACATCATTTTCGAAACCGTCAGACACTGAAACACTGAATTACATTCAGGGTGAGTGTTCATTACAACTTATGAGGTTAGGTCTGTGCGTGTTACACCGTATAATAAAAGTGCACTGATAAGAAACGCACATTTGTGCGTTTCTGATATTTCATGATTATTAGTCATGAAAGTCAATTGATGCAAACAACTACATGTTGAATAAGTGACATTATTGATTTCTCTTAATTAGTGTATTTTATTGTGTTATTACACTGATATATATATATATATATATATATATATATATATATATATATAAAATCATTGAATATTGCTTATTAATTGCGCTCCATAAATATTAAACAAAGCTTGAATTGTTTGTGCAGAGATACGGCAAATGATGCATGGGTTTGGTGATAGTAGTGAACCATTGTTTGAATCTGCCAAAATTATAGAAGAAGTAGTACTACAACAAATGAAAACAATCGTTAGAAGAGCTTGCGAAATTGCAGATAGACGAGCCGTTTCAAAGAAAAGTAATGTCATTAATGGAGAGGACCTTCTTTTTCTTCTACGCAAAGACAAGGTCAAGCTTCAGCGTATTGTAAAGTATCTCGGTAAATATATAGTAAAACTTGTGAATTGTGCCATATATTGTATAAAAGCCTTCTTTATAAAAGGAAATTTCTTTCAGAACTGAAAGAATTGGGGACTTCGGCTCAAAAAATCTTGACAAACGATGTACCACAGAATGTTACAGATACTGAACAAATAGATAATATAAAGAAAATGCCATTTCAGACTTTTTTAGATGAGATTGATAATACAGGTGAACTTTTGGAAAATCCATCCTCTGTGGACGATGTTAAACGACGTAGATGCATTCGTGCAGATATTGTGACGAGATCTATGGATGAGATTCATTACATGAAATTTGCCAAGGCGCGTCGAGTTTCCTTTGCAAACAAAAATCGCCATAAATTCAGCGATTGGATCTGTTTGGATGGTACTATCTTAATTAATATTATATCTATATATGTATCATTTATATATTTTATCATTATATATTAATTATTGTATTTATTTAATTGTAGGCGATGTTACCTTGTCAAAGCAAGCATACACAATCTTATCTTATCTTGCATATGAAACGGTTGCTCAAATTGTTGATCTCGCTTTCCTGGTTCGACAAGATCAAAGTAAAATGCAAGGAGATGCCATAGATCGACAACGATATAACTATGTTAATCTATTTACATATAAACCGCGCAAAGTATGTATTATAGTTATTAAAAAAAAAATCTAATGTAAAGCGATATGATATATCGCTATATGATATGTTTCATTTTTTGTAGAATTTTGTAATGAAATCATTAACTCCTTCGGAGATAACTGAAGCCCTTAGGAGATACTGGTCTCCACAACTAGATATGACAGGTCCATTTAACAGATGGTCCATGAGAAGACCACATTTAAAACTCCTTGCATGTTAGATATGAAAATTTAAAGGTAAGAAACTCAATAACATTAATCATTTTGGAAGGAAAATAATATTTTCGCTATATAATAAGTTGATTTATACCTATTAGTTAAAATTAATCATAAAGAATGGGAATGAGATATAATATGTACAATGTTAAAATTGACTCGTATTTATTGACATTTTCTTGATCTCTTGTACATATTTTTTATTTTTCTAAATTATAACTTTATACACGAGACTATATTGTTCTTTTATCGCTTTTTGTTTATTATAAAACCGATTAAAATTATCGTATAATATTATAGAGATACTTATCATCTTAAAATAATTACAATATTTTCTGTACATATTACATTTGGTAATCCCTGATTGCTTTTCAAAAGGTAAAAAATGATTATATTATTACTTGAAATTACTGCAAGAGTATATTGTACTTTTCATAAAATATTTAAATATTTTTTTATCCGAATTACCAACGTTTTGGCAATACAGTTATTGTTTTAAAATCTAGTGAGATGTACTCATTACTCTACATCATTTGCACAAGTTTAATATAATAAATAAATGAACATCTATCAGATCTTTAACTAATATCAGTAACTAATATCTTCGGTATCTATTCATCTTACGAATTTACACAAATACTAATTTTATTTCTATATCATGGTGAAAGTAGTGTTGATACTCGAGCTTTTCCTTCTGCACCTCCAGTTATACAAGTTCCAGATTGATTGGCAGTCGACCAGTCGCAACATAGGGTACCCTTGTGTCCGCCTAATTCTAAAATCTTTCCTTGTGTCCCTGGTGGCATCTGAAAAATCGCATAAATGAAAACGAATTATACAATCAATTTTGACTAAATATTTTGAAAAATCCTACGCATATGTACCTTGTATATATTTCCTCCAGTCTGCGTGCAAAGTAACATATAATTGCCACTCTGATCGAAAGTAAATAGTTTTCCATGAACAGGATTCTTCTCAATCTTGATTTTGGTCTCCCACAAGATCTTTCCAGAGTGATTCAAACTCCTTTGGCATAACTTGCCATCTTCGCTTTGTGCGCATATGTTCGTAAAATCATTAATTAATTCTATGTCAATTATTGGGCTAGAGTGGCAGTTGAGATTGTCTATTATCTCGTTTCGCCTCAGATCGTGTATGAGTATATTGCCATTGGATAATCCCGTGATAAGTAATTGGCCGTTATGATTGAAAGTAGAGCACAGAGCGGTGACGTTCTGCTCCAGCGGCAGCGTTCTCTCAAGTTTCTTCGATTTTATATCATACAACAATAGTTTACCCTCATTGCCATCTGATACAGAGCAAACGAACGTCGATTCTGTTGGATTGCAGATTAAAGTGACAATTCGCGAATTCTCATGCTGAATATCCCAGAGCGTTTTGCAATCTCGCGTGTCGTGCAATTGAATCAGACCATTATTGTCGCCATGCAGGAAATAGCGTTCATTCTTCGATATCCAGTCTAGCGAGGTGATAGCTTTATTAGAATTCGCTGTAGCAGAAGTGAACGTGGTAACAGTCCTAATAAAGATAATAAAGATGTAAACAATATGAGTTACGAATTATTCAGCAATAGAAAAAAATAAATGAGTTTCTTACTTTGGTGAAGGAATCGGTGTCCATACTTTGATGACACCATCGGCGTCGCCCGTTGCGACGTACGAGCCACTGGCGTTACTCTTACATTGAATTATGGAGGTTTTATGTTCTGTATATTCCTCCTGTAGACATTACACATATTGTATAGACAATCAATGTAGTTAACAGTAAAAAAATTTCTTGAGATTATCAATGTTCTTTACCTGACTTAAAAGAATATAACTGGAATCTATTTTTTCTTTAGTTTTTCTTTCGACAGTAGTGTCCATAGAAGAGTCTCTTTTCCTAGAACTACTTAATCTTGAATCACAGCTGATGCTCCTCTTGGCGACTGTCTCAGACTTACTGATCGAATTCATCCGTCCTTTTGTATTCGTCCGTTTAGTCGAGCTCATTTCAGGTTCCGCAACTTTTTTTACGTTTGTTACAGGTTTTCTACTTAGGATCGGACTGGATCCACCGCCAATGTTCCTTATGAGATTCCTCAGTGTCTTTGGATTTTCCAGTAACGGTGACTCTCTGTTATTTATAAATATTATTAATCATATTAGATTATAGATTATAATTTTTTTACGAAACATAAACGTACTGAGCAATAATATAAAAATCATCCATGATGGGAGGATGCTGTGGTGCTGGACCTGGATTCACATCCGATATGCTTTCTACTTTAACAGACTCACTCAACCGTTGCTTGAGTATTTCATTCTCCTCTTGCAATCGTTTTAATTTATTTGTATCCTCATCAATCGTGAGTAATGTCGGCTGTGGCATACACTAAGATAACGGCATATTAAATTTCTCATCATTCATATCATGTTTTACGCACATATCTTATCATCTTTTATCTTTCTCTTATTATGACGAAAAATATATAAATACTCAATTTTTGTAGGAATATTCAAATGCTTTTATCTCATAGCTTTATATTATTTAAGCTTATTATTTATTAACAGAAACTAATTTCAGCTTTGCAGTGCGAAAATCTTTTTACTTACTTGGAAAATTGTTGCTAAGAAATTATGTAAGGATACTAACATAGTATCATGCCACTGTTTACTAAAATGGACAGAATAAGCTGGATTGTCTTCAGGATTCTTGATAAAAGCGAGAGCTGTAACACAAATTATACAAATTATGATCTATTAGATTTAATTATAAATTTTACAAGGAACATACCAAACCATTCCTTCCATTCTGAGTGGCCCTGTAATTCTGGCGCCATTTTAGTAAAAAATTCTTGTATTCTATCTTGCTTGCCATTCACAGCTGCATTCACCAGGTACATCTTTAGCACAGCATTTTCTAATTTTCTGACCGCAGGTGTAAAATGACTTTCCAATCGGCAAAACATTCTAGTATCCAAATGTCCCCATAGTTCCCTCAGCGATGCCAGATCATAATTATATATGTATTGCATTAATTGATCGATTATTTTATCTACCTGTTCAATGGAACAATGTTGAATATTGTTAAGATATTTTCTTGATATTAATGTATAATTTTCATACATTACTAATAATATATATATTTCATATACAAATATTTCTGTCTAGGCATAATATTTTATATAAAGAAACATATGTAGATGTATCACGACAGAATAAAGCAAATATATTGATAAATACAATGATGTAAAGAGAAATATGAAATTATCCTAAATCTTGACCTCTTGATAGCTTCATTTGATTTGATATTTTCCTGTTATCTTGCTATAATCACTCTCACCCTAAATCCTTTTTCTTTTTCCGCTTTCAAATCATTATCAAAAGCCTTCAAAGTCTGACTAAAACCTCTGAAGAGCAAGTACTCCTTTACCAACTCGTCCACATACTGTATGTGAGACATTTTCCCTCCAATTTCTTTGAAATGTTACTCGTTCGCACCAGTTGACAGCTGTATATTGTCATCCTTCGGCCATCTTGATTCCCCATTGGAGGTACAACAGCAACACTTTACTTGGTTGTAGGATTGCCAACATAAAACCTTGCAATAGAAAGGCATGTGAGAGTTCGTATCGATCAATTTCTCGCTTGAGTAATCGAGCAATCGAATGGGTCTTTTTAAAAAGAAATTATATTTAGAAAAAAATTAATGATCGTGAAAAAAGAATTTAGAAATTTAGTCAAAACTAAAAAGAAAGAAATATTATAAGAAAGAAAGATTATAAATTTATTATATTTAATTAAGTATGATTTAGAAGAAGAAAAGAAATCTAAACTATTATCTATTTTAAAAAGATTATTATTATTAAAAAGAAAAAGAAAAACAATATTATATTATAAAATTAACAATATCACAAAATTATACTTATTGACGTTAAAATATAAATACAAATCAATTTAATTATATTTTATTTAATAGTAGTAGTTAAATTCAATAAATAATAATAATAATTACAATAGCATTAATATCTTATTACACATCATAAATTTATACACGTAAATCTTATAATTCACATGGATTTAATTTTCAACGAGTAGTAAAACGACAAAAATTATATAATCACCAAATCGTTCGCTTTTTTCAACACACAGAAATAAATAATATCCTTGCCGAGTAACGACGATTGTATTTAAAGATTAAATTCTATCACACGCAAATCCTCGCCATACATTCACATATAGGTTTAATAAATAATGTTTCATCTTCGAAAAGGCACGAGTGTTTTATATCCATCGCAAAAATTGAAACTCTCCCGTCAGGTTTTATTTTTTTATTATTACAATTATATCCTACAATAACACATCCACACAATTATTACACGCGCGCCGAGAAAAGAAATTTAAAACGACTTAGAAAAAACGATTTAGAATAATTTTAATATCGAATCTTCGATTATCGTTTTAAAAATAATTCGGAGAACTTTAAACTTTTTTGCGAATATTGAATTAATGTGAGAAAAGTTCAATTTAATTAAATAATTAAATTAATTCAGTTTTACGCAAATAAATTTCCGTTTACTCGTTTAACATGACTTTTTACATGTATATATCTCTTATTTATTTCAAAACAAAGAAAGATTATCGCATTAATATTGATATACAAATTAAACTTTTATATAAAAGCATATGACTGTAGCTGCCGCTTTTAATCCCAACGGGAGAATCGTTGAAATCATAAAATAATTTATCGCAGATAAAAGATTAAAAGTCATAGACCAAAGGCCATCGAATTGAATAGTCGTTCGAATTTTGCATCGCATTTAAAAGTCAACTTAGGAGGGAAAATCACATCGCGATGAGTTTTTATAGAATATACAAAATATCAATTTTTCCTTATATTTATTGTCAATAGACACTAGACTACGAAAAATAAATCGCGAGATGTATTGTTGCCCGCGAGCATTTGGCAAGAGCGACTGCGGAGTAGCAATAGTTTCTTTGTTCGATGTACTATTTTGACAAAAATAGGTCTTTGCAATCCATCGTACAATTCAATAGACTGAAGATATCGCGATAATACAGAGACGTTCGATTTACCGTAGATTGTGAAATTGCACTAATTCACCAATACTTTTGTGAAATAACAGTACATGACATAAAAAGAAGAAAAGAAATATGTCGTATGTATTTTCTGTATGTATGTTTGTGTAGTTATAAAATTCTGTTAATATATTTATAAAAATAAAATTCTATAAATATATAATTGTAGAAATATTGTTTCATATTTTTAAATCCACGTTCAAAACTATAAATTAAAATTATGAAACCGTTCTTTCATTTGTATTGATGTAATTTTCATCTAACATTGGTGATTAAAACTTCCTCTTGAAATGACTTTAAAACCAGTTTATAAGATTGACACGATTATGAATGATGACACGATTACGAAAACGATTTACAATTGTGCAACGTATTATTTCGAGTAAATTCGTTTCGCTATCATTAGATTATGCATTTTATACACGAATTTCGATTACTTTATCCTATCGAACATGCTCACCAACGCGATTAGATCTCTAGTTTCATAAAATCACTAATCTGCATCTTCACGTGTCTCACA